GAACCAAGGTTTACGGGCCATTAAGCATGCCTCGCTTAGCTTGCCATTAGTCAAAGGACCCTTAACTTGATTGTAAAACTTATTAGTTAGATAGTGCACGTGATTCTTTCTAATCGTATAGAAGGAATCAGCTCCCTTGAACTTGAGGGAGCAGTTAGACTTCAGATACCTTTACAACCGAGTGTTTTGCAATTGCAAGTACTGTAAACACCTTGCCTGATCAATGATGGGGTACCTGCCAGGGCCACTAAGGCCACACTAAACGGACCCATCCTCTATAAGAGGGCACACATCTCCTAGCTAGAACAATTAACAAGCTTTCCACCCATCTTTTTTGCACTTCCTTGTGAAGACCATAAGGCCTAGCCTTGGTGCCCGGCTTTTGTGCGACACGTCTTTTTAGGTGCTTCTACAGTACTTTGACGACGTCACGACTTTTACGAATATTACGAAGAGATCGCTATCGGCGATCCAACAAAATGTAAGTCTGAATTTGAAGTTGTCGATCCTTGACTTAGGGATTAGTGAAGGTCTTCGTCACAATCCTGAGAATCCTCCGCAGGCTCCTTGCGAATGTCGCTAATAAAGTCTCTCCGTCAGAACAAGAGAAGAGAAGATGATTATTCTTCTAAGGGGTATAGCAGGCTATATATTTCCGAGGTGCGCTAGTGAGTCGTGATATTATTAATGATAGTCCTTCCTACCCCGAGCTTTCTTAGGACGGTCTAAAAACGCTCGAAAACGGTCCCAAGACGGTTTTGAATCTTGATACGAAAAACGAGTATTTAAAAAAGACGATTTAATAATTTTAATCGAATAAATTAGTTTCATTTTAACTACGATTTAAATGATTTAAATCGTTTGTTTTCAAATTCTATTCAATCTTAAGTATCGGCCTAAAGTGATCCACCAGCCATGCCCACCTATTAAAATTTCCCCTAAAAGAGATGGTTATTAGACGATCAGCTGACCGTCTAAATGCTCCTGCATTCCCCTTTAAGGTATATCTTCATTTGAAGCTATATCAAGAATAAACAACCTATTTTTAGAAACACTTTAGCTTCGACTCATTTTGAATCAGTACTTCCTCAAGTCTATATATACTTCCGGAATATTGACGGAAAGACGCGAAATGAGCACTAATCTCCCGAGAACCTGCAAGCCATGGATACACCTTGCATATATTTTATTTATACTTTACAATAGCCGAAACCTCTCTTAACGAGATCATTACGTTTCAAATGACTTATGCACACTATATTAGCGCGCCTTAGCTTTCGAGACAAAATAAAACTCTAGAAATCTTAAATTTTTAATAGATTTTCTACTTTAATCCCAACCTTACTTATTTTATCGCGAACTAATCATAAATCAAAACGCTGCGGACAGCTTACCCAACCAAAAGCTTTGAAAGACCTTAAAAAGAGCTTTTCCTACGGACGATACTTTCGTATCTTTAAGGAATACTAAGTCTCGCAAGATCTCTCGACCTTTCAACTTTACCCTCCCCTTTCGCCTTGGCCCTTGATCTCTTTACAAACTACACACATACCTATCAATACTCCTTTCCGATCCTTTAGCTTTGCTAAAAATCGCGATTCTGATCTTGATTTTCAACGCTTTGACACTGAATCAAACTCAGACTCTTATTTATCTTGCTCTGACGAAAAGCCCCTCGACCTCCCTTACTTACCTTACTCTTCGGCCTTCGAGTCAAAGAATTCTTTCGCCACTTATAAGAATATCTCGACAAGTACCATTCCGGCACTACGAGCCAACGTCAACAATTTTACTAAGTTTATCAAGATCCCGATTTTTAAGAATGGCTGCAGACACTCAATCCACTTCTGCTTCCGCTCTCTCCGCCGTCCCGTTCCTCGACGAGGAGAACTGGGTCGAGTTCCTCCGAAGAATCGGCTTCGCCCTCGTTAACAAGAACTACATTTACGAAAAAATTCTCCAAGGAACAAAAGTCCGACCAGTCCGCATCTCAATCGAGACGGAGCTTGCGTTTAAAAAGAGACTCGACGCATGGGACGAACTCCAGACTCAAGGCTGCTCTCTCGTCCGCAGCAGACTCGGGCCAATTGCCGCAGACTTCGCTGAAGGAAAAGGAATAGGCCTAACTATCATCGGGACCACCGAAGAGCACGATCTTAAAAAGTTATTAATGGTAGACTTAAAAGAACGATTCCGGCCTAAAGGAGTCTCTATATTCTACCGCCTCCAGTCAGCACTTCTCGCTCTTCGTATAGACGAGTTCGATAATATTACCTCTTTTAATAACGAATTCGTACGACTAAACGGCCAGCTCAAGCTCTTCGGTAGCAACACTCAGCTCTCTGCTCTATGGATGGTTGGAGTCTACCTTAGCCAGCTACCTCCTTCGTACGAGAACTTCAAGTCTAACTGGATCTCGAATAATAACTATATCGACGGTGATAAGTCCAAGACCGCTCTTGCCGAACTTATGGCTGCTACTCGCAAGGAAGAGCTAACCCTTAAATCGATCTAGCTTTGCGCCGCTACGGTCAAATCTTCTCAAACTTGAATAGCTTAATAAGACGAATAAGAAGAACAGATCCCTGTCATCTAAAATCACCCCCAGTCAAAAAAGGCCAAGTGTAGAAAGAAAGTAGTAAAAGTGCCTTTATCACGTGAAAGGTCTATCAACTGATCATATCCGACACGTTGGAGGTGCATGCTATGAGATGAGGCCCGCTTAAAGTGCATTGCGAACCGAAGTACACACAGCCTTAAAGTGGTCTTCGTATAACAGCTGACCTCTTTCGCCGTCGAAGGCTTCTGGATTCGTTTAGTGCCTTCGGCGGTCTTGTTTCGGATATGACAGCCAGACAATACAAGGAAAGGATAATAGTGAGCAAGGTGGTTGTTATTCTTGGAAGCTCAAAGCAACGTGAGGCTGCTATATACCCTCTTAAGTGGTCTGTGCCACCTGTGGTAGCCTGGTGGCCTAAGGCTACGACAAGTCCTTTATCTAATGGTTCTCGCCTCGAGAACTTCAGACCTTTATTCAAACCTCTGATTTATCTTTCCAGCTTTCTTAGCTATACCACCTTTCTTTTCGTTTCCGTTCGTATATCTCGCAACTAAACCTTTCGAAATTAACTCGCCGATACCTCTATCAACTAATCCTTGGCCTCGTTCAAGCTGTACACTAGCAAGATAAACCTTTAGCGTATGCAACAACGCATATGGAGCCTTTAAACAGCTATCCTTAGTGACTAATAAGGCTTAGCTTAGCCAAATCTTTAAAAACCTTTATTCGAATCCTTCGTAATCGATCGGTATCGGTATCCGTAGCAACTAATCTCTAACCCCGTTTAAGCTGTACACTAGCAAAATAGACCTCTAGCGTATGCAACGCATATGGAGCCTTTAAGCAGCTGTCCGTAGTCTTGAACAAGACCCGACTACTCGTATCGTCCCTTTTGATTGTATGTGTTATGTTGTATTATGAAAACGTCGAGAATCATCGAATAAACCTAGGCTGCTCCATGAGGCCCCATGGGGCCCCACGGAGTTTTGAGTCCTCTTCACGAGGGAACCCACGGGGGGTAGAAAATTCTGCCCTCCCTATGGGGAAACTCCATAAGGCATAAGGTTTCCCTATAGGGACCAATACTACTTTTCGATTTCGATATTAAAGTACTCTTAAACCTCTCCCCTTTTTCAATCAACGCTAGCGCTACTTCTTAATCGATTTCATCGGCCTTTTACTTTTTAGCAATAGCTACGATTGCGTTATAATCGTAATTAATCGCCTTTTTAAAAGTCGCTACCTTATCGCTTGCTATACTAAGCTTAAAGTAAAAGAACTAGCTTAATTATTTCTCGATAACGTATAAAGATTATACGGCCTCTTCGATATTATCGTATTTGATAAAAGCTTTTTATTTATTTCTAGATTTTAAAAAGCAATTTGCTTTAAATTCAGAATTAAACTTAGCTTTTTTATATCTTTTTACCTTAAAACAAATAACCAAACAAAAATTTTCAATGCTCAATCCGAGCACTTTATTAAACAATATATCGATCATACTCGAGATAACTAAGCCATATAATTATTAATAGCTGAATTCTTAGCTAATAAGGTAATAAACGCTTCCACTTAAATATCTTTATTTTTTGCTAATATTAGTTTCTACCCTCGCGTTAGCTTAGGACCCTTTCGACCTTTCGAACTTGCTTTTATACTTGCAATTAAAGTAAAAAACAAAGCAAGCATAGCTTTCGTAAATAAAGTAAAACAAATCTTCGCCTTTTTTAGAACTAATCTTATTTTAGCTTAAGCAACTTAAGAATTCGCAATTAATAAAACTAGATCTTTAGCTTTTGCTTACCGAATTAAAAACAAGGTTTTCCTTAACTCTCGTAACATTAAGACCGATAAACCTATTAAGAAGTTCGAGTCTCGACCATAAGTTTTTCGGCTATTATAAGATCAAAAAAGTGTTAAGCTCTTATACTTATCGCTTAAACTTATATTTCGTCGTTTCGAATATGTTGTGCGGAACAGGCATGCTTAAGGTTCCACCCAAGCTACATCTCATATGACCTCGCCTAGTAGCGCCCTTGGCGCACTGGAGCTCTTAGGTACATGTTCATAGATTCTGACAAGCTTCCTAGATAGAATATACCAAGCTTCATTCAATCTGCAGAATCTCCTCCTGATCTTAGTGCCAGTCGGCACTACAGAATACGATAAGTTAAACGATAGCTTTCATACCAACCTCTTTCGCTTCGCCTTTACCGACCTTTTGCTAAGCTAACAAAACCCTTCTCCTTTTATCGCTATCGATGCAAATAGTAAAAAGCTATAAGCGGTTAAAGCTATTATTGATTCTAAAAGAACTAAAGCTAAAGGTTTTTAATACTTGATTTTATAAAAAAAAATTCTAAAAGATAAGACTTAAAAAACTCTTTCTTACGTAATCAACGCACGATCCTCTATCTTAAAGTTCGAAAAACGCTCCCTTCAAAAGCTAAAACCTATTAAAACAGAACTTATTGCTGCTCGAGAAGAAGCTTAATTATTTGATTAATTTTTACGAAAGAAATGCACGAAAAGAGAAAATAAAAAGGACTATATATAAAAAGAGGAAACAAACAATTCAGCTAAAAAATGCTAAGGCTAAAGAACGCACGGATCCCCATAATAGACTTATCTCCTTTTATACCTTAGTATCTCTTCTATCCCTCGTACACAATTTAGACCTCATTCGAAGACCTTGCTCTCGTACCGTGACAGTTAATTACTTTAGATTTTATCAATTACTTTAATTCAAGATAAAAGCCGATAGGCTGCTCCATGGGGCCCCATGGGGCCCCACGGAGTTTTGAGTCCTCCCCACGGGGGAACCCACGGGGGGTACAAAATTCTGCCCCTCCCTATAAGGAAACCCTATAGGGCGTAAGGTTACTCCATAGGGTTTATATACATAAAAATATGCATATGCATAATTACTAATCAGGTTTACTAATTACATTTACTAATCACATTTACTAATCACATTTACTAATCACATTTACTAATCACATTTACTAATCACATTTACTAATCAGAGACTCAGAGTATTAGTCAAATTTACTAGTTACAAAGGCCCAAGGGTTGGTAAAGACCCGTTCTTTAGCCTAAGTCTACTAGTTACAAAGAGTTGATAAAGACCCGTCCTTCTGCAGTTACGTAGAATACGTTTAACTCGGTCTTCGCCTTTAGCCCAAGCTCTTGCTTGTAAGCATGGTTCAGATAAATCTCGTCTGATTCAAGTAGCTCTCTTAGCTTTTGGCACTTGTTGCTCTACTTAAACTCATTTTCATTCGAGAACTTAAGGGTGAGGCGTTTGTATACCAAAGTGCCATCGATAGTGAAAGGGTATAGCATCAATAGCTCCTTTAAGATGCTTTTAGCTTCGGCATGATCGCTATCGAAAAGCTTAAGAGTAAGATCACCTAAGATCAATCGAACCTTAACATCCTTATAAGTGAATTGCTTTCCAATTGCGTTAAGGAAAAAGACAAAGTGGTCGAAGAAACAAAAGACCTGAACGCTCTCTTTTTAAATAAAAAATCAATTAGTGATCATAGAATATAGATGTTATTACTAACTTTATTAGCACCGTAATGCTTAATGCCGAACTCGTCGATAAAACTTTTGCGACCCTTCTATTCGTACTCGAGGCCGATTGGTCTTGGAAACAAAGCGGTATCCTCCCCGTTATAGCAAGTAAATATTGAATTAACAACGCTACCATCAGCATAAACGATTACGAAATCCTTATAGCGACCAAGTATCTCGTTGATTGGCTTGTTGCCACCAGTGCTAAAAGGGTTGACCTCGACCATAGCGTTATGAGAGAAAGGAATCGACATTGCTAAATAAAGAAAATAATTAGCTTAAAGCAAAGAATCAAAAAGCAAGAAATCAAAAAGCAAGGAATCAAAAAGCAAGGAATCAAAAAGAAAATAATTACCCAAGTTGAATATAGTTATAGTTGAGTGTTAAGGTTAGTTAAAAAGTTGAAGTTGAGTGTTGAAGTTGAGAAGTTGAAGTTGGGTGTTGAAGTTGAGGTTAAGAAGTTGGGTGTTAAGGTTGAAGTTGAGAAGTTAGGTGTTAAAGTGATAATGAAAAAAAGAAAAGGAAAAAGAAAGGGAGCGAGTACTTATATAAAAATAAAAGTATAGCTTAATCGTAATCGAAGCATTGCTTCGATTCATCAAAAGTGAATTATAATATTTGAAACAATGAATCGACGCGGAACAAAGAAAATAACGCGTTTTGAAATAATGAATCGACGCGGAACAAAGAAAATAACGCGTCGCTTAATGATAATCGATGCAATGCCTCGATTCAACAAAAGTAAATTACAATATTTAAAACACGAACTCGACGCGAAACAAAGAAAGAACGCTTCGCTTAATAAATCTGATTAGTAAATCTGATTAGTAAATCTGATTAGTAAATCTGATTAGTAAATGCTACACGGAAAGAAACCTTGCATGCTGCACGTCCCTTTGCTACACGTGCTTAGCTCGGCTATAACACGTGCTTTACCGTACGTAATCT